ATAGTTCGAAATCCATGGAATGGAAATCACCCAGAGAAATGCTAAAGTGAGAAAACTCTTCGGTCCATCATGTTTAAGGGGGCAGAGGCAGAGAAGCTTGCAAAGGAGATTGAGAAAGAGCTGCTTGATGGGTGGGAGAAATACAGGGGGGTCCTTGATGTTGCAGAAATCAAGGTGGAAAAACTTGAAGGAAATAGTAGTAGTCAAGTGTGTCAAATACTGCAGGAAGGAACAATATAAGTGTGAAAAAAAAAAACTCCACTGGGTTTAGCAATAAGGAAGTACCTTTAAAGTGAGCATTTTCAGTGAGGTAGTGGGTGCAGAATGTGGACTGCAGTGGGTTAAGGAGTGGGAGGTGAGAACAGTTTAGTTAGTGCAGATTGGCTTCCTGTTCATTTGGCTATAGAGAGAAGGAAGGAGAGAAAGAGGAGATGGGTTTAAGAAAGCAATATACATCAATACAATAAATTACAAAATTAAATGAATATTGAATGAATAAATACAATTACAAAATTAATGACCACAAAAAAAAACAACCCCACCATTCAACCATCTGGAAGTATAGAACAAAAAACATTCACGTCCTTTTTATATAAAAAGTTGGAACTATCATTAAAGAATGTGTTTTTGTGAGGGTGTATACTGTTTCTCTAAGATACACAGAAATTGAAGGTTGGGGGACGCCTGGGTGGCTCAGTCGGTTAAGCGTCTGCCTTCATGATCCCAGAGACCTAGAATCAAGTCCTGCATTGGGCTCTTTGCTCAGCGGGGAGCCTGCTTCTCCCTCTGCCTGCCCCTCCCCCCTGCTTGTGCTCTCATACACTCTCTCTCTGGCAAATAAATAAATAAAACCTTAAAAAAAATTTGAAGGATGGGTTAAAGAAACATGAATTGTAAAAATTGTATTGTGTTAAGTTGCCCTCCTAAAAGACTGTACCGTTTTACACTCTAAAAAATGATGTCAGAAAGTACTTATTTACCCCCACCTTTACCAACTGCTGATTAAGCTTTTTTTTTTTTTTAAAGATTTTATTTATTCAAGACACAGAGATACAGAGAGAGCGCACATGTAGGGGGAGAGGCAGAGGGAGAGGGAGAAGCAGGCTTCCCACAGAGAAGGGAGCCCGACATGGGGCTCGATCCCAGGACCCCGGGATCATGACCTGAGCCGAAGGCAGACGCTTAACGACTGAGCCATCCAGGAGCCCCTGCTGATCGTTGAGCTTTTATTTTTGCAACAACTTGATGCATGTAAAATGATCTCTTTAATTGTATTACACCAGTCCAAGTAAAGTTAATCAGTTTTTCCATGATAATTGGATATTTGTATTTCTTTTCTGTGACATAATTGTTCATATTCTCTTGATTAGATTTTTATTTTTATTTATTTTTAAAATATTTTATTTATTTATTTGACAGAGAGAGACACAGCGAGAGAGGGGAATACAAGCAGGGGGAGTGGGAGAGGGAGAAGCAGTCTTCCCGCCGAGCAGGGAGCCCCATGCGGGGCTCTATCCCAAGACTCTGGGATCATGACCTGAGCGGAAGGCAGACGCTTGACGACTGAGCCACCCAGGAATCCTGTATGTAGTCTGGATACTCACAAATCCTTTCTGGAAGAGTGTATCCCATACCCAGGCCCCTCAGGATTAACTCAGATTAAAATCATCAATGAGGGGGTGCCTGGGTGGCTCAGATGGTTAAGTGTCTGCCTTCAGTTCAGGTCATGATCCCAGGGTCCTAGGATCAAGTCCCACATCAGGCTCCCTGCTCAGTGCAGAGCCTGCTTCTCCCTCTTCCTCTGCCATTTCCTCTGCTTGTGCTCTCTGGCTCTATCTCTCTGTCAAATGAATAAATAAAATCTTAAAAAAAAAACAAAAACTTTTCTTTAAAAACAGTAAACAAATTAAAATAATCAGGAGCTCACAATCAAAAACTATCAAACATATGAAGAAACAAGACCCAGGAGGGATTCAACAGAAACAAAGAACAGCAGAATTTGACCTCCAAGGACTTTAGCCATTATAGTAATCATATATTGAATATGTAATAACTATATTTCATATGTCTTTAAAAATAAAGGCTGCGATAAAAATATGAGCAAGGAAGAAGTAACTATCAAATGATTAGCAGAATTTTAAAAGAAACTGATAAACCCTCTAGAAATTAAAAATACAATAGCTAAAATTAAAAATTCAGTGGACTGACTAACCCAATTTAGACAGAGATGAAGAAATCTGTACATTGGAACAGTACAGAGGCAAAGGAATAGAATATAGGGGAAGAGCATGGAAAATAAAATGAGAAATCTAAAATACATTTTCAAAAAAGATTTTAAGTAATCTCTACACCCAACATGGGGCTCGAACCCACAACCCCAATATCAAGAGTCCCATGCTCTACTGATTAAGCCAGCCAGACGCCCCTAAAATACATTTAAACTGGAGTTCCACAAAATAAAACAATTTGGGATAGACAATATCTGAAGAGATAATGACTGAATTTTCCAGAATTGTAGAAAGCTAGGAATTCTCAGATCCAAGAATCACAATAAATCCTAAGAGGGATAAATAAAATGAAGTCCATACTAACATACATAGTCAAGTTGCAGATTGTCAACTGCAGATCTTAAACAATCAGATCTTAAAGCAGCAGAGGGGCAAAAAAAGTCACTATTATTTTCACATCCTGCTTTGCCACAAGTTGGAACTTTTACAATATCACTTCTCTAATGTTTTCCTTTCCTTGTATAATAATTGTACTATTACAGTATATCTTGATGCCATGGAGGATCACTGTGAATGAATAGCTTGACTCAGGCATCACAACAAAAATCTACCTCGAGGCTGAAAAAATGATGTTCAGAGAACAGGGAAAGAAGGGCTACTGTGTCATATGAGAGTATTGTACAATTCTGAGAATTCTGTTTATGAGAAGAAGGCTGAGAAAGGACTTCTATGATGGTATTGCTTCTTCAAAGCCCCTTCTTTGAAGGAGGAATAGAAGAACCCTGTGTGTTTGGCTTGGAAGGAAATCCCCTCTTCTAGAATGGGGCTCTTTGATAGCTTCTTTCCTGACTTGAACATATAACGTGTCTAAACAGAAAACCCACAAATCTCTTAGGACACATTTGGGCAAATCCAGTGAAAAAAATTTAAACACTCTCTAAAACAGGGTTTAGGAGTGCGGACACTACTGACTCCATCTTTGTCCCGTTCCCCCCCACACCCCCCACCCCTGCCTTATCCATGTCCCTGCAATGATCTCCCCCTGGGGCTACATGTTCCAGGTCCCCTAGATGTTAATGTATGCCATGACCAGAATGTGGTGAAGCTTGCTCTTGCCTTCTCTAAATTTGTTTAGGTAATTCCTAGAGATAACAATCCCCCCCCCCCCCACCTCCCCGATGCACAGAGGGCGCCTGAGGTCTGTTAAATGTTAGCTATCAATTAAATGTATGCAGACCTTTGACCTCACTACAGTGCCCTCCTGAGCATCCCTTCGTTCTATAAAATCTGTAGACTAAGGTCTGGATTTTGCAGAGAATAGCTGCACAGCTGCCTGGATCATCACCCTCTGAACACTTTCTGTCAGTAAGTTAATAAAATTCTATAAACTGTAGGGAGGTTGACTGCTTAATTTTTTGGCCTCAAAGTGCCTTCTCAATTTGGAGGATACTTTATAGTATCCTCCCCACTTTCTAACACAGGGCCTCTCAATTTTGGCACTATTGACATTTTGGGTCAGATAATTCTTTGTTGAGAGGACTGTCCTGTGTATTGCAGGATCTTTTTTCCTTTCTTTTTTAAAAAGATTTTAAGTAATCTCTACACCCAACCTGGGGCTCCAAACGACAACCCCTGAGGTCGAGAGTCGCAGGCTCTAGTGACTGAGTCAGTGCCCCTTAGGATCTTTAATAACATCCATGGCATCTATACAGCGCTCCTGTTGAACAACTTCTTTAGAGAATCATTTGGCATCAATACAATCATAAACACAACCAGGCATTGAAATCCTATACAGTATTACTAGGTTTTCCTCCAGATGACCCAGGATATACTGAGCATCATTTTAAAAACTTATAATCAAAATGGAAACACAAAATTGGAAGAATTTTGTGGAAAAGTGTGCCCTTTTACCCCCCCCCCCCCCCCAGTTTGAGAAACAATATAGCAAACCAGAGTCCCGGAAAGGACCATTTTTCTTATTAATAGATGATAAGATTAATGTTTTTAGGCAATCTGCCCACAGTGTCACCCCTAGTAAGTAACAGAATCAAGGCCAAAGCTGCAGGAAATCTCATTCCAGAATTTTCCAACAGACAAGGGTCTCATCCTTAACACATTAAACTCAGAAGTTACCTTCAACCATGAACAAAGAGTACTGAGATTTATTGTTTGATTCAAGGACCAGAACTAAAACACAGGAAGCCGATTTCAGTTCATTATAAAGGTAAACGTTCAAGTAGTATGTCAGAATGTAGTTAAGGTAGAAAAAGATAGCCTGACATAAACACACAAGTTTTACAAACAGCGAATACTTTGGTGGACAAGACTTCCCTTGACAAAACGCTAAATCACAGTCAACATCTGCTAATAATGCAGATAATTTATGACAATTTTTGCTTCGATAACCAATGAATTCTATGCAGAAACAGTGCTCTCTCGGGTCTGAAACAGTCATGATCAGCTCTAGAACCCTATCGGTGCCTTCTGTCCCAGCACGGTCGTCCAGAAGCACTCCGGCCCCACCGAAGAAGCTGCGCATTACAGCCGCCGGGTTAGCGCAGACTCCACCCCGGCATTCCGCCGCAATTCTTAGCCGCCTACAGGAGGAAACTACAACTCCCATCAGACAAGGTGAGCCGAGTGGGCGGGTATTCGCCGCGCGTGGGCGGCCCTGGCCAATAACGACGGTCGTTACAGCGAACAGTTTGGCCGCGTTTGTAAAAGGCCGCGGCAGGCGAAGAGAGAGGAGGTGAGGGCGGTCATCAGCTTGGGGCCCCGGGGCCGCGGTGAGGGGAGGGCGCGCAGAGCAGGCAAGGGGGCCGTGTTGACAGAAGGCGGGGACAGCAGTGCGACGAGGGCGTAGAGCCGGGAATCCCGGCGGAGAGCGTGGCCAAGGAGCAGAGTCCCGGCCAGGTGATGCTTCTGCTTGGGCCTACTTAGAACCGGAAGTGAGCCGTCGCGCGGGGAGGATGCCGGGAAGCAGGTCCCAGAACGGTGCTTCTGGGGGTGGGCCGGGTCCCGGAAGCCAGGCGGGAGGTGCGCATCCTGCAGGCGGGGTTCCCAAACACGCGTCCGCAAGGCCGGAGCGGCCTTTCTCCGCTATTCCGAGACGGCGCAGGGCTAATGAAAACCTGGGAATCGGGAGGCCTGGCTTCTAGGCGTCTCCCTTCCTTTTACTTGTTGTTTGACAAGGAATCCTGTAGATTACAAACTCATGTTAGATTATCTGGTTGCTGGCTGTGAGACATTCATCAAATCATTACTCTCTTTGAGCCAATTTTTTCAACTCTAAAATGGTAAATAGTACCCACTTTACTGGATTATGGTGAGCAATACCGGAGTAAATGCATGGGAAGGGCTTCTACTCAGTAAAAGGTAGCAGGGTTTATGTTTTATTCATGATAATCATTCGTTCTCTTCAGTTACCGTTGCTTCACAAGCATTAAACAGCATCCACCAAACTGTACAGCTCTACAGCTGAACAGTACCTTGATTAAAACGCACCACTTCCAGGGAGCATTCCTGGGTTGGCTCTTCCAGTATCAGTCCCTTTACACCATCTTGCTGAGGAGGCAGTTTTGTAAACTTGTTTAGAAGAGACCTTTTTTTAGGCAGGATTCAAATACAGGTTCTTTTCTTACCCTTTTTTTTTTTAAGTTGAAGTAAAATTGACGTGTAACATACTAGTTTCAGGTGTACCACCTAATTCGATATTTGTATACACTGTGACATCATGGCCACAATAAGTCGTTACCAGTCACCATACAAAGTTACAAAAAAAATTTTTTTTTCCTTGTGATGAGAACTTTTAGGATTTATTCTCTTGGCAGCTTTCAAATATGCAATATGATATTATCTACTATAGTCATCTTGCAGTACATTACATTCCCATGACTTATTTTATATCTGGAAGTTTGTACCTTCTGACTCCCTTCACCCATTTCTCCTACCCTGCTATACCCCCTCCCCTCTGGCAGCCACCGATCTGTTTTCTGTATGTATGAGTTTTGTTTTGTTTCATTTTTTAGATTCCACATGCAAGTGAAATCATATGGTATTTGTCTTTCTCTGTCTTTCTTTGTCTTATTTCACTTAGCATAATACCTTTGAAGTCCATCCACATTGTTGCAAATGGCAAGATTTCCTTCTCTTTTATGTCTGAGTAGTATTCCATGGTGTATTCCAGTATAGTATTCCATTTTATAGGCGCACATACAAACCAAATGTTTATCCATTCATCCATCTTAGGTTGTTTCCATATCTTGTCTATTGTAAATAATACTGCAGTGAATACAAGGGTGCATATATCTTTTCAAATTAGTGTTTTCATTTTCTTTGACAAATACAGGTTCTTTACAGGTTGTGTTACTTGTTTGTATATGCTTGCAATATAGAATCTATAATAAGTGATATGAGTCCATGTTTAAAATTCAGATAGTATAAAACAGTGATATGGGGCGCCTGGGTGGCTCAGATGGTTAAGCGTCTGCCTTCAGCTCAGGTCATGATCCCAGGGTCCTGGGATCGAGTCCCGCATCGGGCTCCCTGCTCAGCGGGGAGCCTGCTTCTCCCTCTGCCTCTCTCTCTCTGTCTCTTATGAATAAATAAATAAAATCTTAAAAAAAAAACCAAAACAGTGATATGTAAGCCTCCCTCCTACTATTTCCCAAGTCCTAAGTCACTTCTGAGACCATAGACGTGTGTGTGTATATCCCTTCTTTTTTCTTTTTTTTTTCTTTTTATTTTTTATTTATTTGAGACAGAGAGAACGAGAGAGAGAGCACATGAGAGGGGGGAGGGTCAGAGGGAGAAGCAGGTTCCTTGCTGAGCAGGGAGCCCGATGCGGGACTCGATCCAGGAACTCCAGGATCATGACCTGAGCCGAAGGCAGTTGCTTAACCAACTGAGCCACCCAGGCGCCCTCTTTTTTCTTTTTTAAACCAAGAGTATCCTACATGAAGTGCCTTTTTTCATCCCACGGTATATCTTAATATGTCTTCCTTATCAGTACATATAGATCTATCTGATTCTTTTTAATGGCTTTACAGTAGCATATTGTTTTGTTTTGTTTTAAAGATTTTATTTATTTGAGACAGAATGAGAGACAGAGAGCATGAGAGGGAGGAGGGTCAGAGGGAGAAGCAGACTCCCTGCCGAGCAGGGAGCCCGATGCGGGACTTGATCCCGGGACTCCAGGATCATGACCTGAGCCGAAGGCAGTCGCTTAACCAACTGAGCCACCCAGGTGCCCATACAGTAGCATATTGTATGCCTGCACCATAATTTTTTTCGTCAGCTCTTAGACTGTTTCCATTCTTTGCAGTTCTGGACAACTTTGCATGGGGTACCCTTGTACATACTTTGTGTACATGTGACAGGAGAACTCATGAAGTCTTAGAAGTAGAATTGCTAAGTTAAAGTATATGTTGTACATTTATTTTATTTACGTCCTTTAAAGAGGATGTTGCAGTTTACATCCCCACCAACCATGTGCAGTGACTGTCTCTCCACATCTTAACACAATGATAATGTTTATCTTTTCTGTCATTTTGCCAAAGTATTATCTTGTTTTAATTTGCTTCTTGTTTATTGTAAGATAGAATTTTGGATGTTTAAAATCATTTTTGTTTTTTATTTTTCACAAGCTGTCTTTTCATGCTCTTTGCTCATTTTTCTAGTGGGTTTGTTTTTCTTATTGATTTGTAAAAAAACTCCTATTTTAGAAAATTAGCTCTTTAGCATTTGCATTCCAAATATTTTCCCTCTATTTTTAATGATACCTTTTTTTTAATTTTATTTTTTAAAGTAATCTCTATGCCCAGTGTGGGGCTCAAACTCACAACCCCAATATCAAAAGTCACAAGCTCCACCAACTGCACCAGCCAGGCACCCCTTTTAATGACAGCTTTATTAGGATCGCCTGGGTGGCCCAGTCAGTTGTGTCCAACTCCTGGTTTCGGCTCAGGTCATGATCTCTGAGTTGTGGGGTGGGGCCCAGTGTTGGGTTCCGCACTCAGCATGGAGTCTGCTTGTCCCCTCCCTCCCCTCTGCCCCTCCCCTCTCTCTCAAAAATAAATACATAAATACATAAATAAATCTTTTAAAAAAAGCTTTATTGAAATATGATTCACATAACATAAAATTCACTCCTTTAAAGTGTTGTGATTCAGTGATTTTTTTATATATTCACAGAGTTTTGCAGCCTTTCTTCACTCCAAAAAGAAACCTCATACTCACCAGCAGGCACTCTTGTTTCCTCTTTTTCCCTCTGCTCTTAGCAACCACCAATCTACTTTCTGTCTCTATGCATTTGCCTATTCTTCATATTTCATTTAAATGGAATCATACAGTGTGTAGCTTTTTTGTGTCTGGCTTTTTTCACTTAGCATAATACTTCAAGGTTCGTATAGCATGTATCAGAATTTCATTCCCTTTTAGGGCCAAATTATATTCCATTGTGTGGGTATATCACATTTTGTTTATTCATTCATCAGTTGATGGACATTGGGATTGATTCCACTTTCTGGCTATTATGAATACTACTACTATGAACATATATGTACAAATTTTTGTATGTTTTCAGTTGTCTTGGGTATATATTCTTTTGTGAGTCATATGGTAACTCACTTTAACATTTTGAGGAACCATCAACCATCAGTTTTCCGAAGTGGCTCTGCCATTTTACAGTACCATCAATAATGTATGAGCGTTCTAGTTTTTCAATATCCATGACAACACTCGTTATTTTTTGCCTTTTTTAGTCATCATAGTGGCTGTGAAATGGCATCACATTGTGGTTTTGATTTATAATTTACATGATGTTGAACATTTTTTCATATGTTTATTGGCTGTTTATGTTCTTTGGAGAAATATCCATTCAAATCCTTTGTCCATTTTTAAATTGGGTTATGTCTCTTTGTTTTTTAAAAGATTTTATTTATTTATTTATTAGAGGGAGAGTGCACACACAAGCAGGGGGAGGGGCAGAGGGAGAGGGAGAAGCAGGCTCCCTGCTGAGCAGGGAGCCCAACATGGCTCGATCCCAGGACCCTGGGACCATGACCTGAGCCGAAGGCAGACGCTTAACGACTGAGCCACCCAGGTGCCCCTCAGTCTTAATTTTAAAATGGGTGAAATATTTGAATAGTATTTCTCTAAGGAGACAGATATGTCTAAATAAGCATGTAGTATGTTGCTGAACATCATTATTCAATAGAGAAATGCAAGTTAAAAGCACAATGAGGTACCTACCACTTTACACCTACTCTAATCCAATGGCTATAATAAAGAAGACAATAACACATGTTGGCCAGGAAGGAGAGAAACAGGAACCCACCCTCCTACATTGCTGGTATGAATATAAAAACATTTTAGAGAACAGTTTGGTGGTTTCTTAAAAAGTTAAAAGTAAACCGTATGACCCTGCAATTCCACTTTTAGGTACATAGATACCTCAGAGAAATGAAGAGAAATGCATGTTAATGTTCTCAGCAGCATGTTCATAATAGCCGAAAATTGGAAACAGAACAGTTATCTGCTGGTGAATGGATAAACAAAATGATATATCCATTGGATGGAACGCTTTTCAGCAATTTAGACAATGAAATACTGATACAGGTTACAATGTGGTTGAACCTAGAAAACAGCATGTTGTGTGAAAGAAGCAAACATAAAATACCATATATTATATGATTCCATCTATATGAAATGTCCAGAAAAGTTAAATCTGTAGAGACAAGAAAACAGGTTAGTGATTGCCTGGGGATGGGAATGGTAATTGACTGTGAACGGCCAGAGGGATCTTTTTAGTGTGATAGACATGTTCTCAAAATGGATTATAGTGGCAGATACCTAACTCTACAAATGTAATGACTATCATTGAATCATATACATAAAATGGGTGAATTTTATGGTCTGTAAAATATACCTCAATAAAGAGGTTTCTTTTTTTGTTCTTAAGATTTTATTTATTTATTTGAGAGAGACAGTACAACCGGGGGTAGGAGTGGGGTGGGGGGAGGGAGAAGCAGGCTCCCCGCTGAGCAGGGAGCCCGATGTGGGGCTCTATCCCTGGACCCTGGGATCATGACCTGAGCCGAAGGCAGATGCTCAGCAACTGAGCCACCCAGGCGCCCCTCTGTGACCAAGTTTAACTTCTGAGCTTCAGGTTGTTTTTCAATTGCAAAATAGAAAAAAAAAAAAAAATATATATATATATATATATATGTATGTATGTATGTATATGAAATACATATATATGGAAGAGCTTAACAAAAATTAATTTTAAAAATTCATTGATGATCACTTAACATATCATTAAAGTAGAAAAAAACAACTTTGCTCATTAAGGTAGGAACTGGTTTGCCAATTATCATGGTGAAACCTTAAGGTGCTCTATATAGTTTTAGCATCATCATAGGAATTCCACTTTTTCCTCTTATTTTTTCTTTTACTTTTTTGATTATTCTCTGTAGAGGGAAATTTGTTAGTATCTTTCAAAATTACAAATGTACATTTCTTTTAAAAACTTTTAATTTGGGGATAATTTTATTTATTTTTTAGGATTTTATTTTTATTTATTTATTTATTTTTATTTATTCAAGACACAGAGATACAGAGAGAGAGAGCATGAGCGGGGGAGAAGCAGAGGGAGGGCGAGAAGCAGACTCCCCACCGAGCAGGGAGCCCAGTGCGGGGCTCAATCCCAGGACCCTGGGATCATGACCTGAGCTGAAGACAGACGCTTAATCATCTGAGCCATGCAGGTGCCCAATTTTGGGATAATTTTAGATTTATAGAAAAGATAAAAAATTATACAGACATTCTTGTATACCCTCACCCAGCCTTCCCAAATGTTAACATTTTACCTAACCATGAGACATTTGTCAAAACTAAGGTTTTAACACTGGTACAATACTACTAACTCTACTACATACAGACTTTATTTGGGTTTCAGCAGTTCTCCCACTAATGGCACTTTTTTTTTTTTAAGAATAAACTTTTTCTTAAAAGATTTTATTTATTAGAGAGTGAGAGCGTGCAAGAGAGCACAAGTGTGGGGGGGTGACAGAGAGAGAAGCAGACTCCTTGCCGAGCAGGGAGCCCGATGCAGGCGATCCTAGGACCCTGGGATCATGACCTGAGCCGAAGGCAGACGCTTAACGCCTGAGCCACCCAGGCACCCCAAGAATAAACTTTTTTTTTTTTAAGATTTTATTTATTTATTTATTTATTTATTTATGTATTTGAGAGAGAGAATGAGACAGAGAGAGAGAACATGAGAGGGGGGAGGGTCAGAGGGAGAAGCTGACTCCCTGCTGAGCAGGGAGTCCAATGCGGGACTTGATCCTGAGACTCCAGGATCATGACCTGAGCCGAAGGCAGTCGCTTAACCAACTGAGCCACCCAGGTGCCCAAACTTTTTTAATTATTTAATTATTTTTTAAAAGATTTTATTTATTTATTTGACAGAGAGAGAGACAGCGAGAGAGGGAACACAAGCAGGGGGAGTGGGAAAGAGAGAAACAGGCTTCCCGACGAGCAGGGAGCCCGATGTGGGGCTCGATCCCAGGACCCTGAGATCATGACCTGAGCCGAAGGCAGTCGCTTAACCAACTGAGCCACCCAGGCGCCCCAAGAATAAACTTTTTTTAAAGATTTTATTTTTAATGAGGTTCCTGGGTGGCTCAGTCAGTTAAGTGTCTGACTCTTGATTTTGGCTCAGGTCATGATCCTAGGGTCATGAGACAGAGCCCAGCATCAGGCTCCTGCTCAGCAGGGAGTCTGCTTGAGATTCTCTCCCTCTGTCCCTCCCCTCCACTTGTGCATGTACGTGCACTCTCTCTAAAATAAATAAATAAATCTTAAACATATTTTATTTTAATTTTTTTTAAAGATTTTATTTATTTCTTTGACAGAGACACAGAGAGGGAACACAAGCAGGGGGAGTGGGAGAGGGAGAAGCAGGCTTCCCGCTGAGCAGGGAGCCCGATGTGGGGCTTGATCCCAGGACCCTGGAACCATGACCTGAGCCGAAGGCCGACGCTTAACGACTGAGCTACCCAGGTGCCCCCCAAATATTTTATTTTTAAGCAATCTCTACACCTGATGTGGGGCTCAAACTCACAACCCCAAGATCAAGAGTCACATGCTCTACTGACTGAGCCAGTCAGGCACCCCAAGAATAAACTTTTTATTTTAGAATAATTTCACATTTTCAGAAAAGTTGCAAAGATAGAATACAGAGGGGGCTCCTGGGTGGCTCAGTTGGTTAAGCATCAGGAACCCTCCTACACTGCTGGTATGAATATAAAAACGTTTTGGAAAACAGTTTGGTGATTTCCTGCTCCGTGGAAAGCCTGCTTCTCCCTCTTCCACTCCCCCTGCTTGTGTTCCCTCTCTCGCTGTGTCTCTCTGTCAAATAAATAAAATCTTTAAAAAAAAAAAAAAAAAAAACCTTGGTCACAGAGGTAATTGGTGGTAAAAGGCAAACTAAATCTTTCATCTTTTGACTTGGAACAACCTTCTCTTCTAAGATCCCCTGTGTGGCTGAACGAAAATACCTACTAAAGAAGTTTATTGATCTGGAAAGGAAATGCTGTGTGAACAGGCTACTGTCTCTAGATCAGGGGATTTTAATGGGTAATTTAGCCCCCCTGAGAGGACATCCATCAATATCTGGCGACATTTTTATTTTTTTAACCACTTGGGGAGGAAGAGTTGACTACTACTGGCATCTAGTGGGTAGAGACCAGGGATGCTACCAAACATTCACAGTGTGTAGGACAGTTCCCCACAACAAAGAATTATCCAGCCCTAAATCTTAGTAGTGCCAAGATGAAAAAATCCTGCACTAGATCATATTTCACAAAGCTTTATTCACTTAGTGGATACTCAACAAATATTACAGTTGGGAGATTAATTCATAGCACCAGTGAAAAGGTGAGCAGTCTTAGACTTTTCTTATTTGTACTTTACAATTTATTGATTAACAAATAGACTATATGGGGCACCTGGGTGGTTCAGTCAGTTAAGTGTCTGCCTTCAGCTCAGGTCATGGTCCCAGGGTCCTGGGATCAAGCCCCGCATCGGGCTCCCTGCTCCATGGGAAGCCTGCTTCTGCCTCTCCTACTCCCCCTGCTTGTGTTTCCTCTCTGGCTGTGTCTCTCTCTGTCAAATCAATAAATAAAATCTTAAAAAAAAAGATAGACTATAGAACATGTGGAGGGAAAATTTTTTTTTTTTTAAGATTTTATTTATTTGACAGAGACACAGCGAGAGAAGGAACACAAGCAGGGGGAGTGGGAGAGGGAGAAGCAGGCTTCCCATGGAGCAAGGAGCCGATGCGGGGCTCGATCCCAGGACCTTGGGATCATGACCTGAGCCGAAGGCAGATGCTTAATGACTGAGCCACCCAGGCACCCCGAGGAGGGAAAATATTTTATCAAGATCATCCTTTGGGGTCAAGGGGCAAGAGCAATACTAATAGCCTATTTCAATATCACAAGCAGATTATCTTAAAAAATATATTGAACTTTGGGGTGCCTGGCTGGCTCAGTCTGTAGAGCATGTGACTCTTGATCTTGGGGTTGTGAGTTTGAACCCCATGTTGGGCGTAGAGATTACTTAAAAATAAAAATATAAAATCTTAAAAAAAGAAGTTGACTTTAGTTAATAATATGAGTGCTGAATTGATGCCTGTAAATGACTTTGAAATGTTAGGGACGCCTGGGTGGCTCAGTCAGTTAAGCGTCTGCCTTCGTTCAGGTATGATCTCAGTGTCCTGGGATTGAGCCCGAAGTCAGGCTCCCTGCTCAGCGGGGAGTCTGCTTCTCCCTCTGCCCTACTCATGCTCTCTCTGTCTCTCTCAATCTCTCTCAAATAATTGAAATCCTTAAAAAAATTACTTTGAGGGGTGCCTGGGTGGCTCAGTTGGTTAAGCGACTGCCTTCGGCTCAGGTCATGATCCTGGAGTCCCTGGATCGAGTCCCGCATCGGGCTCCCTGCTCAGCGAGGAGCCTGCTTCTCCCTCTAACCCTCCCCCCTCTCATGTACTCTCTCTCATTCTCGCTCTCTCAAATAAATAAATAAATCTTTAAAAAAAAAAATTACTTTGAAATGCAATAAGATATAAGAGGGATTGATAGATGGAGAAAAGGATAAATAAATATGTAATGAAGCAAATACAGTAAAATGTTAATTGTAGAATCTAGTGGGTGGGCATGTGGAAGTTTGCTGTATAGTTCTGTTTTTTTATATGTTTGAAACTTCTTTTTTTTTTTTTAAGATTTTGTTTATTCATTTGAGAAAGAGAGAGCGCCCATGAGCAGGGGGGAGAGGCAGAGGGAGAAGCAGACTCCCCGCTGAGCAGGGAGCCCAATGAGGGACTCCATACCAGGACCCCGGAGATCATGACCTGCGCCGAATGCAGACACTTAACCATCTGAGCCACCCAGGCGGCCTATGTCTGAAAATTTTCATAATACTGGAGGGGAAATCAAAAGCAGAGATTCACACTCTTCTTTTATTTATTTATTTATTTATTTATTTGACAGAGAGAGACAGCGAGAGAGGGAACACAAGCAGGGGGAGTGGGAGAGGGAGAAGCAGGCTTCCCGTGGAGCGGGGAGCCCCACGTGGGGCTCGATCCCAGGACCTTGGGATCATGACCTGAGCCGAAGGCAGACGTTTAACGACTGAGCCACCCAGGCGCCCCAAGATTCACACTCTTCTTAGCAGACACTGGAAACCACATTGCTGATTTTGCTGGGTGACCTCAGGCAAGTTACTCTTTTTTTATGTTAATTGTTTTTCAAGATTTATTTATTTATTTTAGAGAGAGGGAGGGTGAGCAGGGGAGGGGCAGATGGAGACGGGGAGAGAGAATCTCAAGCAGCCTCCCGGCTGAGCACGGAGCTTGACTTGGGGGTTGATCTCAGACCCTGAGATCATGACCTGAGCTGAAATCAAGAGTCAGAAGCTTAACCAACTGAGCCACCCAGGCACCCCTCAAAATTTTTTTTAGCATTTTATTGGTTTTTGGGGGGTTTTTTGGTTTTTTTAGAGTATTCTTTATGCCCAGTGTGGGGCTTACACTCAGGATCCCTAGATCAAGAGTCACTGCTCTACTGACTGAGCCAGCCAGGCGCCCCAGGTTACTTAACTTTTTAATTTTCATGTGAAGCATGGTGGTTGTTTGGCTCAAATGGGATACTAGTATTGTGAGGTTCAAATGAAATAATGTGAAAGCACTTGGAAAAGCATAAAGCACTCTAAAATATAACGCATTATTATTGGGAAGGATGAGTATTTGGCCAATTATATGTCATGGCTCTGGGTGTTCTTGACAACTACCAATGTAATGACATTAGCACTGTTTTACCTGCTTTAAGTCGGAAGAACGAAACAGCCATTTCCATAACAATTGCTGTCAAATATTTTTCAAATAACCTGCAGAAGACTTGGATTCGTATTCTAAGAGGAGAGAATCATACTATTTTTATGACCTTAATATTTTTTGTTGTCTTACTTACAGATTGCCAGGATCTCCACTTAGGGCACTGGGAATCTTCTTCTACTCTGGAACACTGGGCAGGAGCTTTGCCATTGGCTGGCCAAGAAGGAGGAGGCAGAATGTCTGCATTGTTACACCATAGAGTTCAAACTTCAAAAGACTTTGGGTTAAACAGTATCATTTACTCTGCAAATGATTATATCTTTGCCTGTCCTCTATGATCATCACAAATGAAACACCTTTCAGGTCTTACGAATTCAGGTTACACTGTTTTCCAGATGCTCTGGCAGCTGATTCAGGTAGGATTGTGCCAGGTTTTGTGGGGAATGGTGGAAAGGAAAGAATTCATCTTTCCTGTTCTCCAGTTCTTGTTCAAATTAAACATCTGTGCATGTAAAAATTAGGTTAACTAATCTAGGTTGTTGTATAAAACCATTTTGAGCCTAGAGAAATGCTTTAATTATTATATTAGGATTTTAAAAATATATGATATGAAAGGCAAGGGTTCCTTCACTTTTGTTTGATGGCTTAAGTGAATGTTCTGTTTGAGCGTACAATTTGAAAATGGTAGCTAACCTCTTTACATTTTACTTTCTGTACTAAATATCATAAATGATTTTAACTTTGTGTATGTGTGTGTATGAATGTATTTTCATGCTGATGGGCTTATTGCTTTTTCTAGGGCCTTTGAAAAATGGAACCCAACTCTCTGAGGACTAAAGTCCCAGCTTTCTTGTCTGATTTGGGGAAGGCCACATTGAGGGGAATCAGAAAGTGTCCCCGATGCGGCACATACAATGGAACCCGGGGACTGAGCTGCAAGAACAAGACATGTGGAACCATATTCCGCTACGGGGCACGGAAGCAGCCCAGTGTTGAAGCTGTCAAAATCATCACAGGCTCCGATCTGCAGGTTTACTCAGTGCGGCAAAGAGACCGGGGCCCCGATCACCGATGCTTTGTGGAGCTAGGCGTGTCAGAGACGACAATCCAGACGGTGGACGGGACAATCATCACTCAGCTGAGCTCCGGACGGTGTCATGTCCCCTCATGCCTGAAAGCTGCCACCCAGGGCGTAGTGGAAAATCAGTGCCAGCACATCAAGCTGGCGGTGAACTGCCAGGCAGAAGCCACCCCTCTGACTCTGAAAAGCTCGGTCCTGAATGCAATGCAGGCCTCCCCAGAAACCAAGCAAACCATCTGGCAACTGGCCACGGAACCCACAGGTCCCCTCGTACAGAGGATTACTAAAAACATCCTGGTGGTGAAATGCAAGGCGAGCCAGAAGCACAGTTTGGGGTATTTGCATACATCCTTTGTGCAGAAAATCAGTGCCAAAAGCTTGCCCGAGCGCCGGTTCTTCTGCTCCTGCCAGGCTCTGAAATCTCACAAGTCGAACGCCTCCAAGGATGAGGTGGCCCAGAGATGTATTCATTTCTTTGCTTGCATCTGTGCCTTTGCCAGTGATGAGACATTGGCCCAGGAATTCTCAGACTTCCTAAATTTTGATTCCAGCGGTAGGTGGTGTGTTGACACAGTTACTCTGTTTTTCTAAAATGGCAATGAAAGAGTTCCACTGATGGCATTTGGAGATTGTCCTAGCAACCTTCAGAAGCAGTTGCTAGATAATTCAAATGAAAAGCATTCCTTCTTTTAATCGCAGTCAGCACACTTGCATAAAGGTTGGTTGGTTGATTAGTTGGTTGGTTGGTTGAAATTAATGATCAAGAGACTTGGGCGTTTTTACTGAGACAATGAATCTAGCAAAAGTTAGCTTTGCTTTGCCTTCTTTTTAAACTTTTTCACAGATACCCTATGTTAAAAAAAACAAAGAATAAACAACAACAAAAAACCCTTTTATTTTGGGTTGCTTGCTTGTTTCTTATCTTTGAAGATGAGGAAAACTAGTACCTGCTCAAAATATCTTTAAAGATTTACAGCAAGTCTTTTGTTGTGGTTTTTAACAGTTTTATCTTGTAGATGCTTTTTATTTTCATTTCTTAATGATCTTTAGTTGGCAGTAGCTCCCAACTTTTTAGTTTTATTTCTCTGTAAAGTCTTTCATCATGTTAATGATCCATGAATAAAAACCTATGTCTTGGGGAGTTCTTTAAAGGAAATTATTTTAAAGCGGGCAATCACTCCATAATTTAGTTTTTACCAATTAATTTTTCTCTAGGCAGGGGCCCATATTTACTCTTGGATGGTATTAATAATTAAGAAATCTGTTGTATTTTAGGTCTTAAAGAGGTTATTGTGCCCCAGTTAGGTTGCCATTCAGAATCAACAGTAACAGCTTGTGAGTCTACTGCCTCTAAGCCAAAGAAGAGGAAGAAGGAGGAAGTACCTGGTGAGAAACTGTTTGGGTTGTTTGTTCAGTGGTGTTGTCTTTAGAGATTGTTTTATTCTATTTTATATGTTTCACTGAATCTTAGCAAATACAGAAATAGTGTTTGTTATGTTTTTAACTTTTTTGAAAAAGTTTTATCGTCCACTGATGATTCTTTGTCAAGTGGAGCTAAGAGTTGGTTCTTTTGGCCAAGTATAAGATCTAACCAGACTCTACTTTTATTATTGTATATGTTGTTCAACCCTTAAACATTTGGACTAGTCTTACACCTTAATCTGCCTTAGGACAGTGTAATGAAGTTTTCGTCCATAGAGTGTTTTTAGAAATTTGTGATAACGGTTAATTATATTTTCCAAACTAATTTAAGAGTGTAGTTTCTGGGGCGCCTAGGTGGCTCAGTCATTAGCTGTCTGCCTTCGGCTCGGGTCATGATCCCACGGTCCTGGGATCCAGCCCCATGTCGGGCTCCCTGCTCGGCGGGAAGCCTGCTTCTCCCTCTCCCACTCCCCCTGCTTGTGCTCCGTCTCTCGCTGTGTCTCTCTCTGTCAAATAAATAAATAAAATCTTAAAGAAAAAAAAAAGAGTGTAGTTTCTTAGCTTCATTTTCAATAGGTGGCACCATATGTATATTTTTTCTTTTTGAATGTAAATGTACCAGTGTCAGTTAAGTAGTCAAATAAATCAATATGAAAATACTGTTCTAGTAAATAAGTATTAAAAGACCTAGACTCTAAACAAAAGAAAAATATTCTAGTCCACACATGTGGGTAGAAACATTTTTGTGGGTAGAGTATTTTTAGAGGTGGGTCAGATGGTCATATGAGCACAGGAGTTTGGGTGCTAGGATGTTGGAGAAAGATGGAGAAACAAAGTGACGTGGGTATTTCTGTTTTTTTTTTTTTTGAGAGAGAGAATGAGAGAGAGCACATGAGAGGGGGGAGGGTCAGAGGGAGAAGCAGACTCCCTGCCGAACAGGGAGCCTGACGCGGGACTCAATCCGGGGACTCCAGGATCATGACCTGAGCAGAAGGCAGTTGCTTAACCAACTGAGCCACCCAGGCACCCGGTATTTCTGTTTTTAAGAAGTGATTCTGCAGCAATATAGAGCAGAGATTGTCATTAAATGTTTACTTATTAGTCTTTCCCAAGAAAACCTGAAATTCAAAAAGAAAGTTCTTTTTTTTTTTTTTTAAAGATTTTATTTATTTATTTGAGAGAGGGAGAGGGAGCGAGCACGAGCAGATGGGAGGGGCAGAGGGAGAGGGAGAAGCAGACTCTCCACTGAGCAGGGAGCCCGACATTGGGCTCGATCCCAGGACCCTGGAATCATGACCTGAGCTGAAGGCAGACGCTCAACCAACTGAGCCACCCAGGCACCCCCAAAAAGAAAGTTCTTATCCTTTGACTCAGTAGACCTGATTCTAAATAATTTTTTTTTTTAAAGAGTTATTTATTTTATTTTATTATTATTATTTTTAAAGATTTCATTTATTTACTTGAGAGAGAGAGCACAGAGGGAGAAGGAGAAGCAGACCCCCGCTGAGAAGGGAGTCTGACGCAGGGCTCGATCCCAGGACCCTGGGATCATGACCTGAGCTGAAGGCGGACACTCAACCAACTGAGCCACCCAGGCACCCCAATTTATTTATTTGAGAGAGAGAGAGTGTGTGTGTGCATGTGTGTGAATAGGGGGATTATAAATAATCTTTTATAAGAAAATAGTCCTTGATACAGGAAAAACATTTTGTCCACAGATACTCATTTTACAGATATTTATAATGTTGAAAAATTAGAAACAAGTAAGAGACAACCACTAGGAATAGTTAAATAAGCCATGATAAAGCTACTTGATAGAATATCAGGCAGCCATTAAAAATTATTATAAAGAATTATAAAAATTAGTATAAAGAATTATTATAGGGGTGCCTGGGTAGCTCAGTCAGTTGAGTGTCTAGCTCTTGGTTTTGGCTTAGGTGGTGATCCCAGGGTCCTGGGATTGAGCCCTCTGTCAGGCTTCGTGCTCAGCGTAGAGTCTGCTGGAGATTCTCTCTCCCTCCATCCCTACCCCTACCCGTGCACACACACATACTCACTCTCTCTAAAATAAATAAATCTTTTTTTAAAAAAAAGAATTATTGGGGTGCCTGGGTGGCTCAGTTGTTGGGCATCTGCCTTTGGCTCAGGTCATGATCCCAGGATCCTGGGATTGAGCCCCGCATCGGGCTCCCTGCTCAGCGGGAAGCCTGCTTTTCCCTCTCCCACTCCCCCTGCTTGTGTTCCCTCTCTTGCTGCCTCTCTCTCTCTGTCAAATAAATAAATAAATAAAATCTAAAAAAGAATTATAAAGAAATGTTTAGATAACTCAGGTAAAAAACAATGCTCAGTTAAATTTGAGTTTCATACAGACAAATAATTTTAGTATAAGTATGTCCCGTGCAATATTTGGAACATACTTATATTAAAAATAAAACTATTTATTTGAAATTCAGAATTTTTTTTGCTAAATTTGGCAATCCTGGTACAATCACAGTTACTTAAAATCACAAAATAAGTAAAATCAACTATTTACACACACACACACACACACACACGAGACAATAGTTCATCAGAAATGATAGTGATTTTCTGAGAGGTGGGAGCAGTGGGCAAATTTTTTTTTCTTTTCACTTCTAGGTCCTCCACCTACACCCCAATTTCCTGTAAAGAGCATATGAAACTTAAAATGTTATGTATAAAGTCTAATGCTAATTCCTTCTAGAAACTGAAGCTAACTTAAAAATTAAAAAAGATTTTTTATATTTTAGACTCTTCAGAAATTAATATTGAATCAATTTCTCTTCTGCAGACATGTTATTAAACACTGTAATGGTTTGTGGTTTAGGTGCACAGACGAACAGTTCACTACTGTCTCAGGATGCAGTGAGCAGTCATCTAAGGAAAGGTGGCCTGAAAAAACCTGTGGTTGCTTCTTCATTAAAAAGGCAGGGTAAGTTTCCCTTCCCCAGGGTAGGCTAAAGAGGTGGAAATCATCCTAAAGAAGCCCAAAGCGATATAATGGAAAGAAATGTTGCATGTTATCCCCCAGAGAGTGCTAAGATAAACAGGAGCAGGCACTGAGGCTGAGATCTGTTCTGTTCCACTGGCTTCCAATCCTACTCAAAACTGAATCGTGTCTTTAAATAACAAATGCAGCAGAAGTTACTTCGTGTCTTGGCAGCACATGTTCTGTAGGATATTTTCCTTTTGTTGCTTATTACCCACATGCAGTTGGTATGGAGCCTCAAAGTTGAAGAAGAAACATATTTTACAATTGTGCAGTGATAAATATTTGTTGAGAAAGACAAATATAATCTGTTCTCCAAAGTTATAAATTTGGGGGTGCTGGCTGGCTCAGTCAGTAGAGCATGTGACTCTTGATTTCAGGGTCATGAGTTCGAGCCCCACGTTGGGCGTAGAGGTTACTTTTAAAAATGATAAATAAAAGTCAATGTGTGTTAAAAAAAATTAAGTTTGAAAACATGTAAAAGCAGTAGCATGGGTATCATTCTGAAGTTAGGAGACAAAATGACTTAATTTGAACATAACTTACATATTTACCTTTCTAGTCAGAATAATTAAATTTATACATTTGGGGATCAACATTCTTAACTCTCATATATTATGGCTGGGTGATTAAAAACCAGACATCATTCCTGCTCTCATACTCTGGTTTTGAAGACAAGACCAGTACATAAATAGCAAATAATACAAGACCAAATTATAATTAACCAATTAAGAACTTACACATTCCAGGAATAAATGTTCCTGGAACATTTAGGTTCCAGAACGTCAGGGAGTGTGATCAAAAATATCAGGTAGGGGTTAAGTGGCTACCTTCAGCTCGGGTCATGATCGTAGGGTCCTAAGATAGAGCCCCAGTTGGGCTCCCTGCTCAGCGGGGAGTCTGCTTCTCCCTCTCCTCACCGCTTGTGCTCTCTCTCACTATCTCTGTCATTATTTCTGTCTCTCTCTCAAATAAAGAAATAAAATCTTATATATATATATATGTGTGTGTGTGTGTATATATATATATATATATATATATATATGACTTGAACTTAAAAAAATATACCAAGTAGAGATTTTTTTTTAAGATTTTATTTATTCACTTAAGAGAGAGGGAGAGAGCATGAGCAGGAGGAGGGGCAGAGGGAGAGGGACAAACAGACTCCCGGCTGAGTGGGGAGCCCAATTCAGGGCTCCATCCCAGGACCGTGAGACCATGACCTGAGCTGAAGCAAGATGCTTCACCAACTGAGCCACCCAGGCACCCCAGTTAGAAGATTTTTAACATCACTTCCTTTGGTGCAAAGAAAAAATAAAATAGAATAAAATAGCTTTTTACCCAAATTATCACTATATACATTTACCTAATGAGAATTTAGTTTCAAATGAATAGTAGCTACGGCATCATTATCTCCTGATTTATAGATCTCTAAAGCAGCCATTATACAAGGCTCTTTTTCAATCTGCAGCTGACTTTTTTTCCAGAGATTTTATTTTGCTTTTCAAAGATTTTATTTATTTATTTTTAAGATTTATTTATTTATGAGAGAGAAAGAGAGCAGGGAGGAGGGGGAGAAGGAGAGAGAGTCTCAAGCAGACTCCACACTGAGTGCAGAGCCCGAGGTGGGGCTTGATCTCATGACCCTGAGATCAGGACCTGAGCCAAAACCGACCACGCCACGCAGGCGCCCCTCAAAGATTTTATTTTATTTTATTATTTTTTAAAGATTTTATTTATTTATTTGACAGAGAGAGAGATAGCGAGAGCAGGAACACAAGCAGGGCGAGTGGGAGAGGGAGAAGCAGGCTTCCCGCCGAGCAGGGAGCCCGATGTGGGGCTTGATCCCAGGACCCTGGGATCATGACCTGAGCCGAAGGCAGGCACTTAACGACTGAGCCACCCAGGCGCCCCCAAAGATTTTATTTTTAAGTAATCTCTATACCCAACATGGGGCTTGAATTCACAACCCGAGATCAAGAGTTACATGTTCTACCAACTGAGTCAGCCAGACACCACTTCAATTTGCAGTTTAATGTTGATGAAAGACTGCAGACTTACTATGGTTAATAATCTTAAACCCATTAGTATCTCCACAGCTTTTCACTTCGGGTGAAGGATTCTTAAAACAAAACAAAAATGTAGAATCTTCCATTTCACTTAATGTATCTAAATTTCTTTGAATTTCAACTTATTGCCCTTTTCTGTATAAAATCCTCAGCTTTTTCAATCTTCAGCTAACTGTTGTTTCTGTAAAAAAAAGATAAAAGTTACTGAAAAGTTTTTTGTTTGTTTTTCCTAGCCTCCGGTCAGCTGTTGGATGAGGCACAAGTGACCTTATCCTTCCAAGACTGGCTGGCCAGCGTCACAGAACGCATCCATCAAACCATGCACTATCAGTTTGATGGTAAGTATTGGTCACCTGACTTGGCTATTGCTGAAAGGAGGAGAAATTAAAGTAACTGTGTTGTAGTTCTTTTTTTTTTTTTTTTTTTTTTAAGATTTTATTTATTTATTTGACAGAGACAGAGATAGCGAGAGCAGGAACACAAGCAGGGGGAGTGGGAGAGGGAGAAGCAGGCTCCCCGCGGAGCAGGGAGCCCGATGCGGGGCTCGATGCCAGGACCCTGGGATCATGACCTGAGCCGAAGGCAGATGCTTAACGACTGAGCCAGCCAGGCGCCCAAGAAAGAGAGAATCTTAAGCAGACACCGCACTGTGCATGGAGCCCGACAGAGGGCTCGATCTCAGGACCCTGAGATCATGACCTGAGCCCAAATCACGAGTCGGAGGCTCAACTGAGCCACCCAAACGCCCCTAAGAGTCACTCTTAAGTTATATCCAGGCAGGTAGTGGTTCTGGATGTTTCCCCTCTGTTGGGGCTAGCCTGTTGGGCAGTTTTTTGTTTTTTAAAGATTTATCCATTTATTGTAGAGAGGGGGTTGCCGAGGGGCAGAGGGAAAGAGAATCCCAACCAGATGTCCTGCTGAGTGTGGAGCCCAATGTGGGGCTCAATCCCATGACCCCAAGATCATGACCTGAGCCAAAACCAAGAGCCAGACACCCAACTGACTGAGCACCCAGGCACCCTGATTTTATTTTATTTTTTAAGTAAGCTCTGCACCCAGTGTGGAACTTGAACTCATGACCCTGAGATCAGGAGTTGCATGCTCTACCCATGGAGCCAGCCAGACGCCGCCCCCCGCTTGGACAATTTTTAAGGAAAAAGTCTGAACTCTTCTGACCCCTCCCCTGAACACTCTTTCTGCTGACTTTTTGTTGACCCTTGTGTCTTGCAAGTTTCTTTAAGAGGTTTGTTAAGTATTTTCAAACATTGGGCGCCTGGGTGGCTCAGTTGGTTAAGCAACTGCCTTCGGCTCAGGTCATGATCCTGGAGTCCCGGGATTGAGTCCCGCATCGGGCTCCCTGCTCAGCGGGGAGTCTGCTTCTCCCTCTGACCCTCCCCCCATCATGCTCTCTCTCCCTCTCATTCTCTCTCTCAAATAAATAAATAAAATCTTTAAAAAAAAAAAAAGTATTTTCAAACATTTTGCCTGCTTTGAGATCATATTCAGAGAGAAAGGCCAATGCTTATTGGATAAACAGTGTCCTGACTTTGGGGTCTGCAGTGCTCATGGCCCAGACCATCTGAGTGGGAGCTTGCAGTTACTTTGCTTGGACATGAATGCACATAGCAAATGCCTGGGAACAGTGAGCAGGACTGAATCAAGTTTACCTTCTCAACTCAGCCTCATTGTTCTCATTTCATTTCATATACTCTTTAAAGGGAAAGGTCTGGGCTGCAGTGGTGTTTACAAAACAGGGGATTTAAAATTTTATCTTTGGTGGATGACAAGGGCCTGCTGTATTTGTTACAATTATGAGGGATCAAGAGTAGGGCTGGTGACAGTGCTTGACTCATAAAGGTCAATCAAAGCCTTTTGCTTCTGTATAAAGCAGCCTCCGTGGCAGTTTTAGTTATTATTGCCACCCAGTTCCATTTCTTGTCAGAAAGCCCACTGAGTTTCTCTAAATGAGTTTCTTCTTATTTGCTGTAGGCAAACCAGAGCCACTGGTGTTCCACATTCCTCAGTCCTTTTTCGATGCCCTGCAACAAAGAATATCTATAGGAAGTGCAAAGAAACGGCTTCCCAACTCCACAACAGGTATGGGATTTTTTTCCTCGGGAATAGCAGTAGATGTCTTGACCTTAAAGAATTATGTTTAGAAAAACCATGTGGAATTTTCAGGATTAGGACTTTGAGTCACATGCTCAGAGCATGAAGCCTTAGCCAGTCAGCTCTTGGAATAATGATCACCCTCCTCAAAGGCCCCATACTTATTCCAGTAAGAGGTAATGGAAAGATTCAGAAAGCACAAACCTGGTAAAAGAACAATGAAGTGCAATAAGGGTGCCCACCAAGAAGTTTGATAATTTTTTTAAATTTATTTTATTTTTTAAAAAAGATTTTATTGATTTATTTGAGAGAGACAGAGCATGAGCATGATATTGAGCTGGGAGGAGGGGCAGAGGGGGAGGGAGAAGCAGGTTCTCCGCAGAGCAGGGAGCCCAACTTGGGGCTTGATCCCAGGACCCTGTGATCATGACCTGAGCCAAAGACAGATGCTTAACTGACTGAGCCACCCAGGCATCCTGAAGTTTGATATTTTTAGATATGAACCCATTTCAACAAAAGCATTGCAGGCTCTAATCATTATTTGGGCTGGCTTCTTGTGGTGCCTAGGTGGCTCAGTCGTTAGGCATCTGCCTTCGGCTCGGGTCATGGTCCCAGGGTCGTGGGATGGAGCCCTGTATCGAGCTCCCTGCTCCGTGGGAAGCCTGCTTCTCCCTCTCCCACTCCCCCTGCTTGTGTTCCCTCTTTCGCTGTGTATCTGTCAAATAAATAAATAAAATCTTAAAAAAAAAACCAAAAACACTTGTTGGGGTGTCTGGGTGGCTCAGTCGGTTAAGCGTCTGCCTTCGCTCAGGTCATGATCCCAGGGTCCTGGGATCAATCCCCACATCAGGCTCCCTGCTCAGCAGGGAGCTTGCTTCTCCCTCTACTTCTGCCTGCTGCTCTGCCTACTTGTGATCCCTCTCTCTGTCAAATAAATAAATAAAATCTTTAAAAAAAAACAAACAAACTTGTTTTTCACAACTCCCAATTTTTGATGAAGGAAAATTTTATTTTTAGAGTAATTCTTAGGCTTGGAACTCTTATATTTGCTTTATTGTGGTGCATATTTCTTGGTTTTCCATTACATTTTCTACTAGAAATGTCAAGGTACTTATTAGGTAGTGTAAGGAAATAAGAGGGAGAAAAGGAGGAAGAAAGGATGGCTCAGTGGCAAATAGCCCAAGAGTAACTACAGCTGGAAATCAATGCTATTTCTTTAGTTAGTAGTTATTTGATGATATGATAGGGACTGTTTGAGGTTTAATTCTATCTTTGAATAGTCCAAGCTGTGAATCACTGTTTAGGGCCATAAAAATTTTGTCTTCGGGGCGCCTGGGTGGCTCAGTCGTTAAGCATCTGCCTTCGGCTCAGGTCATGATCCCAGGGTCCTGGGATCGAGCCCCGCATCGGGCTCCCTGCTCCGCGGGAAGCCTGCTTCTCCCTCTGTCCCTGCTTGTGCTCTCCCTCTCTCGCTGTATCTATCTCTGTCAAATAAATAAATAAAACCTTTAAAAAAAATTTTTTTTTTGTCTTCACAGCTTATCTATCTGAGGCAGCATTGATTCTTTCTTTCACGTTAAACTTTAGGCCTCCTAATACATTAATTTTAACCCATCCCTTCGCTATTTTTTCAGGCCCTTTGGTGAAACCCTTTATAACCCTGCAGGCAAGGCAATAGATTGGCAACCACGTTAACTGGCTTAAACTCCATATAATCCTTTTAAGAACTGTAATTTGACCTCTGATACATCTAAAGTTGTAAGAGATTGTAAGAGGCTCTTATAATGGAGCCCAGTGTGTGCAGCTGTGTCAAAGAAATAAGTTTCTTTCGTTTGTTTGTTTAAGAAATAAGTTTCTAGGGCGCCTGGGTGGCTCAGTTGGTTAAGCGACTGCCTTCGGCTCAGGTCATGATCCTGGAGTCCCGGGATCGAGTCCTGCATCGGGCTCCCTGCTCGGCAGGGAGTCTGCTTCTCCCTCTGACCCTCCTCCCTCTCATGCTCTCTGTCTCTCATTCTCTCGGTCTCAAATAAATAAATAAAATCTTTAAAAAAAAAAAAAATAAGTTTCTAAGGTAGCAAAAATAAATAGTATCTCAAAGAAGCATCAGAGACTTTATTTGGCAGAAATCCATATCATTTATCACATTTTGCCAAAGCCATTATAGATTTGCCTCTAGAATTTCTTTTTCAAAGTGCTGAGATTCTATAAGAGGATAGTACTGCCCTGAACTTTCTAGAAACTGGATAACATATACAATGAAAGAGAATGTTATTTTTTGGTAGTCTAATCATGTTCCCTTTTTACATTGAAGCTTTTGTTCGGAAAGATGCCTTGCCACTGGGAACCTTTTCCAAGTATACCTGGCATATCACTAATATCCTGCAAGTTAAACAAATCTTAGATACCCCAGAGGTAAGAGGGTATTTCTACAATAGTAGGAGGGCAAAGAGGGGAAGAGAGAGAAACAAGTGCAAGAAGTATGTTTGCACCAGTTCTTTGAGTTACAGACACCAAAGAGAATTGCTTTTTCTCATACTAAGAGATTATTCAGAAATATTCATAGCTGTCTGGTGCTATGACTTTAATGGTTATTTCTTATGGCTTGAAAAAGTATCTTAAGTTAGAGTATTCCTTTTCTCTGCCTTTGGGATCAGAAAACAGAGATCATTTTTCTTGTAAATTAAATCACGAACCCCTACTAGCTATGGTGAGCCCTAGATTAACTGGCAGGGAGCTAGAAAGTATATAAATAATTTGAGATGATACACTATTTGTAAAGTCAGTGAAGCCAGCACAATTGAATGCTTCTCCGCAAACTGCAATTTAGTCCTCATTAGAGAAATGACCCTTAATTAGTTTGCATTCTTTTTGCAAGGGAAATATTAGACATTTTTAAACATTTTCTTTTTCAAGCAAATCCTGAAAATTTGAGGGTTAATGTAGAAAATTCAGCATAGTATGATTGGATACATTAAGATTAGCTTAATTGCAAAGTGTTGTTACATTCAGAAAAAAAAATAAGTTGTTGGGAAGCTATAGAACTTAATTGTGAGCCCTAGAAAAGGCCTGTGTTAGCACTAAAGACATTTGAGAAACTCTTTAAATGCTGGTGTCACAGAGACAGTTTCTGGCCCAGAGCAGGGGTTCAGGGAGGCACCGTGAGGCGAGGGAAGAGAGCTAAGAATCATGGCGTGTCGGTCTGCTGGCCATTACTTACCTGCATCACCTCATTCAGACTCACAGCCATGCTTTGGTATTAACTGTATTTTGCAGATGAGAAACAGGCCATGAGAAGCTCACCGTGCTGTTTAGTGGCAATGACCAGTTCAAGTTCTGTCTGGCTCAGTCCCAAGGATGGTGTGAAGCATGCAAGGTGTGAGGTCCCCTACAGGCAGTATCAGTGGGGCTTCCAGGAGGAGAATGATGCTGGCAGAGCGGCAGGGGGAGGAATAAAACGGACTGGAGAGCAAGTCCATGCCAGTGGCCGTTGAATAGCTGTGAAGATGTTAGGGGTTCTGTTCATATATACTTTGGCTGGGGTTCAACTTAAAGTTACAGAAGAAAAAGGAAAGCCGTGAATGATGTAAAGGAGAAAAGGCAGATCAGTTGACAGTGTTTACTTGAAAATACAAGAGGAAGTTTTAATTAATTGGAGTGTACTTAACAAAAAAGAATAAGTAAAAGATCTGTCATCATCCAAATGTTTGTCTACTTTGAGTTTTTCCTTTCTTACCTTTTCTTGGTATTGTCTCTGTGTCCAGATGCCCTTGGAAATCACTCGGAGTTTTATCCAGAACCGGGATGGGACTTATGAGCTGTTTAAATGCCCTAAAGTGGAAGTAGAGAGCATAGCAGAAACCTATGGTCGTATAGAAAAGCAACCTGTGTTGCGACCCTTGGAACTAAAAACCTTTCTCAAAGTTGGTAAGTGAAATTGTGTTTTCAATAGCGCAGCTTCCTTAGAGGGTCAGCTGTGTGCATTGCACTGTCCTAGACTTTGAATCTTGACCTTAAACAAATATTCATTCATCTTGTAAAGGCCATCGTGGAAAAAAGTGTTTTGTGTCTTTTGAAACAATGTTTGTTTTTTTTTTAAAGATTTTATTTACTTATTTGACAGATAGAGACACAGCGAGAGAGGGAACACAAGCAGGGGGAGTGGGAGAGGGAGAAGCAGGTTTCCCGCCGAGCAGGGAGCCCGATGCGGGGCTTGATCCCAGGTCTCTGGGATCACGACCTGAGCCGAAGGCAGACGCCCAACGACTGAGCCACCCAGGTGCCCCTGAAACAATGCTTTTAAAATAAAATTACAGGGGCGCCTGGGTGACTCAGTCAGTTAAGCGTCTGACTCTTGATTTCAGCTCAGGTCATGATCTCAGGGTCATGAGATGAAGCCCGGCGTCAAGCTCTGGCTAGGTGTGGAACCTGCTTGGGGTTCTCTTTCTCTCTCTCCCTCTGCCCCTCCTCAACCCCTGCTTATGCACAGGCTCACTCTCTCTTTCTTTTTCTCCAAAAAGTAATTAATTTAACTGATATAAATGACAGGGGTATCTAGCTGGTTCAGTCGGTGGAGCACATGACTTGATCTTGGAGTTGTAAGTTCAAGTCCCATGTGGGTGTAGAGATTATGTAAAAATAAAGTCTTTAAAAATAAATAGAATAGAATAGAATAAAAGTGGGATGCTTGGGTGGCTCAGTCATTAAGCGTCTGCCTTCGGCTCAGGTCATGATCCCAGGATCCTGGGATCGAGCCCCGCGTCGGGCTCCCTGCTCCGCGGGAAGCCTGCTTCTCCCTCTCCCACTCCCCCTGCTTGTGCTCTCTCTCTCTCTGACAAATAAACAAAACCTTAAAAAAAAAAAAGAATAGAATAAAAGTAACACATGTTCATTACAGAGAAGTCATAGATTTCATTATAAAGCATCAAAGAGAAAAATAAACCACCTATAATCCCATGCATCATGGAAGACATCACCATTAGATTTTGGTATCTATCCTTTCAGACTCTCTTCTGTGCATGAAAAGAATTTATAAAGCATGGGATCATACCCCAGCTGCTTTTTTTTTTTTTTCCCAGCTGCTTTTTTAACATAAAAATACATCATGAACTGCTTTCCATGTCTACTTTCAACATTATTTTTTAACTTTTTTGGTTATAAAACATACATAATATAAATTTTTTTAAGTGTATGTATGGTTCTTAGGCATTAAGTACATTTATATTGTGCAACCAGCACCATCATCCATCTCCAGAACTTTGTCTTCCTCCACTGAAACTGTAGCCATTAAAGAGTAACTCCCCACTCTCACCTCTCCCCTGGTCCCTCCATTCTACTTTGTGTTTATTAATTTGACTACTTTAGGTACCTCATCTAAATAGAATCATACAGTATTTGTCTTTTCTCTGACTGGCTTTTTTCACTCAGCATAATGTCCTTAAGGTTCATCCATGTTGGAACATGTGTCAAAATTTCTTTCCTTTTTTTTTTTTTTAAAGTGAGCCCTGTGCCCAACATGGGGCTTGAACTCACGACCCCAAGATCAAGATTTGCACACTGCTGACAGAGCAGCCAGATGCCTAAACTGTATTTGAAAGCCATACTGTATTATTTTTAATTCTGCTAGTGTTTTATATTTTTTCAAAAGCATTTTTTAACCAGAGTTTTCCTTTTTTTCTTTTTTAAAGATTTTATTTATGTATTTATTTATTCATTTATTTATTTGAGAGAGAGAGAGCAGAAAAGTAGGCAGAGGGAGAAGCAGACTCCCCACTGAGCAGAGAGCTCAACATGGGTTCGATCCCAGGACCCTGGGATCATGACCTGAGCCGAAGGCAGACACTTAACTGACTGAGCCACCCAGGCACCCTGCCTGAAATTTTCTTTTAGATAGGTATACCAGTAATCACTTTTCCTTTCCCTTGATTCTTCTTGTTTTTCTCCTTGTTCTTCTCTTAGTTTGTTGTGGTGGTTTTTTTTTTCATTTTTTTTCTTCTTTTTTATTCCTGAACAGAGTAACATCTGTCCATCCTCAAATTTTGGAATGGTACTAATCAGTATTTTTTTCCTTCCTTCCTTCCTTCCTTCCTCCCTCCCTCCCCTCTCCTCCCCTCCCCCTGCTTGCTTGCTTTCCCTTTCTTCCTTCCCTTCCTCCCTCCCTCCCTCCCTCCCTCCCTTCCTCTATCTCTCTCTTTCTTTCATTTCTTTCTTTGTCTTCAGGCAACACTTCCCCAGATCAAAAGGAGCCAACACCTTTCATCATTGAGTGGATCCCAGATATCCTTCCCCAATCCAAGATTGGCGAGCTGCGGATCAAGTTTGAGTATGGTCACCACCGAAATGGGCATGTTGCAGAGTACCAAGACCAGCGGCCGCCACTGGACCAGCCCTTGGAACTGGCCCCTCTGACCACCATCACTTTCCCTTGAGGCAAAATGAAACCGTCTTTTGCTGCTAAATTTGCACATCCCCACCCCTTGACAATTTTAAATACCTAGTTAGGCATTTAGATGGCCCTGTTCCTTAGTGAACTGCTCTTAGTTAAGATACAAGTTCTCGGCACATTCGAGTGGATTCTTTTGAAGAAAAACTCTTCTTGTAAATGGCCTTTTTGGTGCTGCTGTGTATAGTCTTCATTATAAATTAGGTGATATTTCTAGCTAGAATTTTTAAAGAACAAAAAGGAAACCAGCTCACTTTCCTTCTTCAAGGACTCCCATTTAGAGTTTGTTTCAACCTTTTTCTAATGCTCTAAGAAGTAAGCAGCACTCCGCCTTACACCAACACTGTTGGAAAGTTACTAATACCCTGGTTAGGGCAGAATGTTAAGGACCATCCTGAGAGAGTTCCAGTCATGCCCTTTTATCCTGTTCTCAAATAAAGCACAGTGTCACTAGTTTTTCCAAAGTGTATATCATATTGGCCTGATGATAAAATTATAAACCTTTGGGGAGATTTAAGTAATAGTGAAATAAGAAAATGTCAAGGGAATATTGACATTTCAAACTAATGCTTCGAGTTGCTTATTTCATTGATACTTATTTCCTTCTCTAGTCTCAAAAAAGTTTAACAGTAAGATTCAATTCCTATTGCTGAGTTCATTGATCACAGAATGGAGATATTGAAAGAGAACTGGAAGCCTGTGTTCAGGGAGAAAAGAAGGGAATGACCATATCCTATATGCCTTACTATGTCCCAGGCACTCTCATATACGTTCCCAATCATTTGTCTCATTTAGTCCTCATTATTCTTTGAATTTAGGCATTACCCCTTCTTTTAAGTTAAAGAGACAGCCTCTCTGAGGTTAGCTTGCTGGAAACAGCATTAAAAATAATGTTTCATTTTACTGCAAAGGACATGTTCTTTCTACTTTATCATGTTGCTTTGATATAAATTCCTTGTAATTCATTATCCTTGGGAACACAAGAAAAATCCATATAAAGGAGGCTCTTGGTTTTCTTTTGACGGCAAGTAACAAAACCCCAACTCTAACCAGCTCAGGCAAAAATGGGAATGAATGACTGGTTCATGGACTCTAAAATAGGGCTGGACAGCTGTCGTGTGGTGGCACTGGGATGTGACTAGGCCTCAGGAACCCTGGAGCCCTTGCCCATGTGACCCATCACTGTCTCTCCTGGGGTTTCACTCACTCTCAGCACCGAGCAGCTCCCTCTGGCCAGAATTCTGACTCCTCTGAGGTGCCTGAAAGTGTGACTTCTCCTTCCACACTAGAGCAGGACTGACTGCTCTGCTCTGTCTCTCATCCAAAGGGCAAAGACCCAGAGGAAAGACTCTAATAGGCATTTTTGCTAAAACGGGGAGCTGGGCCCCTAAGGTGGGGGGGGTAGGCAAATTAAGTGTCTATCCTGTGTGATTGAGGGGCTAGTGTGTGTGGAGCACTCACAATGCTTTAGGCAGTGGTGGAATTCCTTGAAGAGACTCCAGAGAGGTCCACAGAGAACTTAGAACTTGCACTGGGCTTTAAAGGAGAAAGGGTTTGCATAGATAGAAAGAGGAGAAATTAAAATTAGGTGAAACAGAGCCTGCCTGAAAAGGAAGAACACCTAAGGAAACATAGTGGTTGGCCCATTCAAGAAACCCTTCAACCTGAGTGCTTTGAGGACGATAGTCACAGCTTTTGGACCAAGACAGATCGGTGAGTGACAAGCAATGCCTGGGTCTAGCAGTACTTGACTACAGCCACAAGGACGAGAAGCACAATCAAGGCCATAAAACACATGGCTGGGACAAATGATCCACCCAAAGAGGTGCACACTCAAGTGCTAAGGTCTTCACCCAGGACCACCCCAGCCCACCATCACAGCCCATCAAAATCTGGAATAGGGTTCAGAGTTACGGTGACTCTGTTTTATAACTTGACATCCTCTCTAACAGGTCAAGCATGGGCCTAGGAGTACCAACCAATGGGACTGCTGCACCCACTCTCAACATCCAGACACCTCTGGGACACCACCAGTATTGACCTCATTTCAGACTTACCCCACACTACCACTACGGAGTGATCCTAGATACTTCCACCAGGAAAGGGCTCTTCAAACCCCGCACCCACCTGCCTCCCTACCCATCCACACTTGCACCTGCTATCCATTGTACACCTCCATTAGTCATAGGAATCTCCCATCCCTGGGAGATGGCTGTTCAGCTGCTGCCTTTCAACATTGCAGCCACCATTTGTATTCTGGAATGAACAGCTCAAAATCCTCCATGTTCGCATAGCCACCTGTTTACTGCACAGACTGATCATCCTTAGACTGAGTAAATTAAAAGGTCTAAGAGGGATGCTGCCTTAACTTCCCCAGACAACGTGGCTGCACCCCTAATGTGGGCACCATGAAAACAACTTGCTACTCATCCGCCTGGAACACTTTGGTTCTAACCTGTCTTGTCCCTGCTTCTACTAGAACTGCTGTCATCTTAGCAGCTTGCTAGCTTAGAGGAGTAGTAATAGGCCACTCAGAGACCTGAAAATCTGACTCCAAGAACCACCCACCTGAGCGAAAGTCTGTAGGCCTGCCACCTGGCTCTCTCAAGGTACCAGATGTCATCAGCCCTGTGGCCTTCTCGGCCCAGCAATTTCCAGTCACAGAAGTCCATCCTGTCTTTCACGGATTCCTGTTATGTCCGGTCTGCCAATAACCTGTGCTTCCCTCCAGCCCACATGTGCACACACATGCACACACACCACACACACTCCAGCCCCCTGCATGAGTAGGTGGCCCCTAGCTCTGGCCACTTACAGAATGCAACCTCTGTATGTCAAATAAGAGGCACTGTTCTGTCAGCGTCTGGTTCCCCCCTGTCAGGGCCCAGAACTTGCCCTCTGCTAGAATAACCCAAGGAAATCCCACTGTATCTGCTGAAGGTGAGAGAATGGGCAGGGATTGCTCTCCTCCAGCACTTTGAATGACCTGGACCCTCTCAAGTATGTGTCACATATAACACAGAAAAGCCAACCACAGAGAAAAACCTTACCCATTAACCTATTTCTCTTTTTTTATCTCCCAGATTCTGATTTCCTAGTTTTCTTCCTTTGCATTTTGTGATATTTTCTGATACTCCTTATTGGATGCTTTTTTTTTTAAGTTTTTTTTTTTTTTTAAGATTTTATTTATTTATCTGAGACAGAGAGAGCATGAGAGGGGGGAGAGTCCGAGGGAGAAGCAGACTCCCCTTTGAGCGGGGAGCCCAATGTGGGACTCCATCCAAGGACTCCAGAATCACGACCTGAGCCGAAGGCAGTTGCTTAACCCAGGCACCCAAGGTTTTATTTTATTTTTTTTAAGTAATCTCTACACTCCACTTGGGGCTCCAACTTACAACCCCAAGATCAAGAGTTGCATGCTCTACCAGCTGAGCCAACCAGGCACCCCTTGGATGCTTTTTTTTAACCCTTCTTCCAGACCTTCTTCCTCCCTGTCTGCCTGCCCTCCCACCATCCAGCTCTGCAAGTTCACTTCTTTCTACCATCCCACCTGCCTCACCAAGGGAGCAGGATGCCTTGTTCGACAATAGTGCTTTAACATGCATAGGCATCACCCAGGGATCTAGTTAGAATACGTATTCCCATTCAGAAGTTCTAGGGTGGGGTCCAAGATTCTGCATTTGTGTCACCAAGCTGGATGCAGAAAGTACAGGACTGCAGATATGCAGCTGGACTCCAGACTGCACTTTGAGCAGCAAGACCTAATGCCTGACTTGGTACTGGACTCCCACTGCTCACTGCCACTAACGGGAGAGGGCAGTGCTGGAGGTCGGTGACACCTAGCAATCAGTGGTGGCTGCTAGAGCACCAGCTAACATGCACCTAAGTGCTTCAAGGCAGTGTGTTAGTGTGAGCTGCTTTATGGCACGCTCCCACGAAGTTGCTCCAACGCATGGAGCCACTAGCCTGACTCCTCCGAACTGGTTCCAACTCGACAGTTACAGAAGTATAAAGTCTGTAACCACACACACATTCCCTGCGCGGTTTTTCTCCATTCTCCCCAGCACCACTTTTTCATTGTTCTCTCCACACCATCTGGTTCAGAATTTAAGCCCTGGGTTCAAACCTGGACTCTGCCACCCACTATTAACTGTGCGACCTTGGGCAGGTTATTCAGCCCCATGGTCCGGTGTCCTCATCTGGATGATTGCATACTAAATAAGATACTGTGTGTGGAAATCCTCATTAAATACTAGCTATACCCTTTCGCCTATTGTTTGCACTTCTCTTCTTCTACCATTTTTTTCAAACAGCCTTGAGGCTCGTATGGTGCTTTTCTGTTTAATGTAACAGAAAGGCTGGAAGTAAATATGAAGGGGGAGGGTGTGGTGCTAGTATTCATACTGTACTTCTCTTTCCCCCTTTTTTTTCAAATTTTCTATGACGAACAATATAACTTTAATAAGTTCGAAAACGGCAAGGTTATACCCTTAAAAGAACGGGCATAAAGACGACTCCACACTCCACCGAAAGGTGGAAGAGAAAGAGAAAGACGCCCCAACGCCGCGGGCAGGGGCTGGTCACGCGGCGGCTACCCCCTGCCCCCTCCACCGCGAGATGACGTCAGTCACGTTCTCCTCCCGCCCGCGCCTCCGCTTCCGGCCGGTTTGGCAGCTCGCTCTTCCACCAGGCGGCGCCGCAGCACGCTCTGTTGCCGACGCCTCTGCGCAGCCTCGCTGGCGCCCGGGACACGTCACCACCTTCGCGTCTTTTCTGGAGAGCGCGGGAAGGCGAGTGTGCAGGAGGGTGGTGACGACACTGGGGTTCCCCGCGTGGCCCGCGGGGGCGGGGCCGGGGTCGGGGACGTGGCGCGCGCGGGGAGGGAGAGGGGAGGAGGTGGCGCCGCGCGCCGGCTGACTGGGCCGCGCCCGCCTCGTGACCCACTGTGAGGCCGAGCGGCTGCAAACGTGCTGACGAGGCGGGCTGGGCTGGGCGGGGCTGGGAGCGGTGCCGGGCCCCGCGCGGGGCCCTTCCGCTGTCGTTCTTCGGCCCGGGCCCCTCTAGACCCGCCTTTGGGCTGGGCACCGACTTTCTGGCAACTCGGGGCAGCGGAGTGGACACGGGCGCGTGGGTCCGGGCCGCACCCGAGCTGCAGACCGCGCGGCTCTCTGGGGAAGGTGGAGTCGCGCCCTCCCTGCCGCGGCTCAGGCTGTCCTCCTCCCCCGCCTCCTAATTCTGGCCAGCCCTCACTCGTGCCGGTCCTGCCAGCGGGGGAGAGAGGAAGAACGTGGGCTCGGCAAGGAGGCGTGGGTTTGAATCCCGGCCCGCCTCTTACTCCGCCTTGAGGGAGTCCTACGGTTCCCTCCGAATGTCGGTTTTGTGCTTTGCGAAATACCGAGGGTACCGTCCACTTAACAGATATATTCGTCTGCCCCTAGCAAGGGTAGATGATGATCAGTCGAAATATAAAAATTAATTTCCACTTTTTGCCACCCAGGCATTAATCCCTGGGTGCCCTTAAAAGACTTTGTGTAGTTCCGTGTACCGGTTTTTAAGAGACAGAGCTTCCCTTTTCTTAGTATGAGCTCGACAGTCTGCCCAGTGGCTTTGGAAGGCAAGGGGCAAAGGGCTCATCCATGACCTAATGAGTTGAACCTGGGGCCTAATCAGAATTTAAGGAGGGGTGAGTTAACAGGAATTTTCCCTGGGCCCTGGCCCCTGTGAAACTACTTAATGAGGAACCACAGGATTTCCTGCTGGAAGCCGTCTGCCGCGCACACTGCCTTGGGGCACCCTTCAGTTGTCTTTCTCCTATTGCTGTGCCTTCTCAGAATCTTTCATCTCATATTACGTTGCTGTGGCCAAGTCATTTTTTCCTGGGATGGCCTGATCCCTGGGGACATGCAAGCCTCCAGTAGCTTATAGGAGGCTGGTCTGAGTAAACAGAATGCAACACTATCTCCTGGAAGGAGGAACACTTACGTATCCCGAAGTGCTTATTTAGCATGTGTCACAGATTGTATTAGGTTTTTCACACAAGTTACCCTATCATTCGACTTCCACAACCTGTCCTGTGAGCTAGGTGGAATTATCATCCCTTTACATACAAGAGGAAACTATGGTTCAGCAGGTTAAATAACATGCCTCATATCTTACAGCAAGGATGTGGTAGAGCCAGTGTGTTTGGAGACCATACTAAGGTTTGGCTGCATGGCTCTGGCAAGAAAGAGACAGTGCCTGGTCAGCCTTTCTCTAGGGTATGTGATGCTCAGGACCATCCTGGAGGGTATGACTGAAGACATATTACACTGTGGGCTTCACCTCCATATCCCCACTCTCTGGCCACCCGTGCCCTTTGTATGAAAACAAAACCAGGTTAAGTTACAGATAAAGGGCAGCATTTGTGGCTCCAAAAGACAGAGAAGGGGCAGCTCCCCCCTACTTTGCCTTAGTCATGGATGTGTTAATGGAAGGACTCCTGTATATCAGACTTGGGCCTTTTTTTAGCACTGCCTGGCAGGAGCCACTTCTCCTTGCACCTGCTGCTTCTACAAACCATTACTCATTTGCCAGTCAGCGATGCAAAAGGCAGAAATGTGGTGCCTGTGTAATTTGGATCCTGTGTACCTCAGGGAGGATGGCTGTGTTCTCTGTATTATGTTGTGGGAATGGCAGCCCGTACCCACTGCTGAGGCTGTATGTGGAACTGCAAGAGACAAGAGAAAGGCAACAAAGGCAGAAGTCCTCTCTTCATTTTCATTTTTTTTTAATCTTGAACTTGGCTAGTGCAAAAGATAGAGAAATTCCCAGGATAAGGCAAGCTAATATGGACTCTGGTATCTTGGAGTAGGTCCCTTAAAACCCAGGGCTTTGTAAGGAAATACTCCTTGGTTTTGAGCAATGCAGGTAGTTTCTGCTCAAGAGAGCAGATGAGCCTATTTGACCCAGGGCCACTTTGAATAGGCAGTTTTTTGTTTTTTTTTTCTTCCTGTTTGCTGCCAAAGCAGTCCTTTATGTCCTGACTCATAGACATAGTTCTTGAAACCTACAAGACAGGTGCTTATAGTCTAATTGGAGAAATTTCTTCTGTTTTGCCTAATAAAGCCTGCACACCTAAGTGACAGGAAGTAAGTTTGCCTTCAGCCCAGTAAAAATCACATGTAATGGATGATTAGCTAACCCGGAACGTAAACCTTGAGGTTGTAAATTTATTGCCTGAAAGTTTGAGGACACCCCAAATGCTGATTAGATGACTCAGAGCAATCTCAGGAAGGAAGGGCTAGAAAGTGGTTGTAATTTAGGTTAAGTCTAATCACTTGTGTTATAAAGCATTTTGGAGACCTGAACACAAGGGGTTTGGCCATCCTTGGAAGCATAGAAGTAAGCCCCAGCACTAGAAGGGCAGGGCAGGTCTTGCCTAAGGGGAATTGAGCTCCATGATTTCCTTAGTCAGACTGCTCTTGTAGCAGGGAAGAGAGGCCTTGCCCTAAAGGAGAGATGTAACTTCAGGTTAGTTACTTTTGTTCTAAATTCCACATCTTTTTTAAAGATTTTATTTATTTGAGAAAGAGAGCACAAGCTGGGGAAGGGGCAGAGGGAGGGAGAAGGAGACGCAGATTGCCTGCTGAGCAGGGAGCCTGATGGCGGGGCTCGATCTCAGGACCCTGGGATCATGATCTGAGTTGAAGGCAGACGCTTAACTGACTGAGCCACCCAGGTGTCCCCTAAGTTCCACATTTACCAAGCAATCTTAAGACCATGAGGAAAAGATCAGCCAGTCAGGTCAATTAAAGCATTCCAGTCACTTAGAATGTCTGCTATTCTTTGTGTGAATCTGTATGTTGATTGGCATTTGGTTTATATGTCCCTTGGCTTCTGTGTGAGCTTAGTTTATAGTGTTTGAGAGATGGGTCCCCTTGCAGCGGGCCAGCCTGAAAGTGTAAGGCCCAGATCTGGGTTCTTGTTTTAATTCAGCAAGGTAAATACTGCCTCATGGGGACCTGTGGGAAAAGGGTAGGAGGTGGGGGAGCAAGGGCAGGAAGCCAGCTTTGCCAAGGAAATACTACCCTTGTCTTAATTGTTGACCTTCCTGTTGCAGTCACATCCAGGAAAATTATCAGCACAAGGCAGAAAGTGCTAAATTGTAGTTGAGTGATACAAGCATTGAGTGCTGTGGATTTGGAGGAAGGTGAGATTACTGTGGGAAGTTAAAGGATGGTGCCCCAAGAAGGTCAGTAAGACTTGCCAAGTGGATGTGATTTCAGCAGCTGGAGATATCAGAGGTGGAGAAGTACCCACTCCCACTTTAGTGAAGTTGCCCTCCAGGGCAGATGTAAAATATGCGGTCACCTGATCCCTTAGCTGTTAAGCCAAAGGAAAAACATGTGGCAGGAGAGGGAGTGGTAGGCCCCAGAGAAAACGAAGGAAAAATCAGCTGTTCATTCAACAATTTGTTTATTCAACATTTATTGAGTACCATGTGCCAGGCACTGAGCTGGGTTCTATGGATACAGAAATGAACAAAAACAGAAGCACTACCTTCAAAAAGTTAATAGTCCAGTGAGGAAAGAGAGAGAGAAAGACTATGAAAGGAAGGAAGGAAAGGAGAGGGAAGGAGGGAGGGAGGAAGGGTGGTATAGTATGTCAGATGTGCTATGGAGAAAATTAAAACAAGGGGTGGGGAGGTAGGAGGATATGCTGAGGTGTTTTCCTCTCAATTTAAGTGAATTATTTGCAAGTTAATATAGAGGTACAAGGACACACAGTCTTTGATCATTTTTATGAGTTGGTAGGTGACGAGGTTGTGACCCAGGGGATAGAGTTTGTCTGTGAATATGACTCACTGCCTGGGAAGAAATAAGTCAGGATCTCTGAGTGGAGCATTTTCTTCTAAAAGCCAGAAAAGCCAGGTGTGATGACAGAGGAAAATGGAATTGTACCCTAGACCTCTAAATATAAACACTATGGTTCTAAGAAGCACCTTCTCTGTTACTTTTCCTGGCCACGGGGTAGGGAGTGGGGAGTGGGGAGGAGAGGAAGTCAGGCCTTGAGATGGGTGGCCACATGCCGTGGACTATGCTGAGACTCCATGTGTTTCCTTAGGAGGGTCCCTGTTCACGGGTGCAGGCATGGGTGAGAGTGAAACCTGCCCACCTGGTGCTCCACGGCGCTATTTTTCTGAACCAAGAATTTTGGAACTGTAAAGTTCATCGTACTGCTTGGTACCAGAGATGAAATTGGAACACAAAAAATTGGCATTCTGAAGACAGAATAGTAGAAGGTAGTATAAGTTTGTGGTTGAGGAAGGAAAGATCAAATGTGGGGCAGTATGAGTACTAGTGTTAACAGGTAGTACCCACCAGAACAAGGCAGAGAGATGTACAACAGGCCCTCAAAAGTCTGCGCCAACCTGCAAGACCTCAGAGTCTGTGGTCACCTACATTCTCTTTGAAGCTGGGGAAATGGGGGTGGAGGCGAGGCTGGTAGCTGAACTTGGCTCAGTAATTTACACTCCTGGTTTCACCTACCACTTTATGTGGTAAGGCTTGTACCCCAAGTTTGTAAAATCTTATAAATTTGGTCCAAGGCTGTTTAAGACAGGGTCCTGTCTGCTCAGAATCCGTGCATGAGGCTTTCCCCAGGCCAGATCCCTTGAATCAGTTCATGTCCCCATATTCCCATGCTCTTCCTCCCTGGAAAACAAAAACAAAAACAAAAAAACCCTACCTCTCAGTAATTGGAATGGGTGATTTTTTCATACCTGCTTTTGAATTCTCCTTGCAAGCTGACAGATCTCTGGGAGCCTCAAGGACACAATCTGGCAGTTTCGCATCTGTCGGTTATCTTATATTTTTCAGTCGCAAAACTGTGTTTCAAGCCAGGATGTCCTGACAGGAAACCTGAGAGTAATAAAATGCTCCTTCTTCCTGCTGATGTGTTGTGTGGATATGTAGAAGCCACAACGGTGCAGTAGCTTCTTGCTGCTTTTTATATTCTGTGGTGCACATTATCCTCAACCTGGTTGGGATTTTCCTCTGAGAATAAACTAATGCAGAATGAATCTCGTGGTATCACTCCTGGTGATACTGTTCATGTGTAATAAGGAGTGGGCATGCAGTCCATGGGGCCTTTGGCTCGGCGTTCCTAGCAAAGTTAAAAATGCTCGATGGCAGTGTTTTGGCCCAGCACCCCCCAGAGGTATGTGGTATGGTTCTAGACACCTGAATCCTTGCCAAGCTCGGCGTCGCTGAAAATGACTTGCTTTTAGACTCCCATTTGATTTAAGCAGAACCTTTCATTGGACACATCTGGCATGCATACATCTCAAATTTCCTGCACATTAGTGAAAGAATTCTAGCTAATGAAAGCTGGAAACTGAAAGCTATGACATTGTTATGACTAAATTAACACCCTGAAAGGTTAATGAATCTTACGTGGATTACATTACCTAGAGTTTGACCTCTGGCTGTGATCTTTGCAATATAAAATATATAAAAAGCTATTTCCCCAAAACTTTAAAAAAGGGAGAGGCAGGAGAAAGCCATTCCTATAAATCTTATTTCTGACACACACAGCTAACAAACGAAAACGTCCACAACTCAGTGATATAATTGATACCTTGCAAATGGATTTAAAGAACAAAACTAATGAGTCCAGACACATTTATGAATTGACGGTGTCCTAGCAGGATTATTAGAGATGACCAGGAGCTGGGTCTCCTGTTTGTTTCTGTCCCCAGCACAGGGCCTCACATAGCCATGGATACATATTAGGTGTCGATTAACAGTCATGGAATTACTAACTGGAAATTTACTGGGGCTCTCTGCACTGTTAGACTCCACACACAAATAGACCTGCCCTGTGGGATCCTTAGCAAGAGCAGATATTTTATGAGAGCTGTCACTCGAGTTGATTGGCTAGACAAAGTGAAACCAAGGGATTGTGTTTTTAAACCAAATATATTTACTCTGCTAAATTTTACAACTGGAATGTTCTCCTTTGGGTGGGGAGTTGTACAAAATGACCTCTAATTTGAGGTTTGTAGATTTAGGAAAATACAGATTTTTTTAAGGCACTGAGATGAACCCAGCAGGGTGAGCTGGCAGGAAGTCAGACTGCGGTCCTTGCCTATGAAGATGACACAGGCCAAGGGAGAGAAGGAAAACAAGGCCGCCAGAGCTAGTAAAGCATTTTGCAAAGTTTTGCAGAGCTTTCCAGGTTTTTCTGGAAAAAGGAAGAAAAGAGTAAAGGGCAGTGAGGATTGGTTAACAGCTGGCTTCAGAAATGCTGACAAGTCGATTTGCCTACTGGTTTTATTTTTCTAAGTTAGGGATAAGGAAAGAGAGTGTGGTTGGCCTGGCGCTGCTTGCTGGCAAGGCAGTCTCCCCTGGGCTGTGTGCTGATGCTGTTGTTAGAGCCACTGGAGGAGGAAGGAGACGCAGCCTGCCCTCCAAGGATGTCTAAGGGGTGTGGGAGAGTAGAAAAGACAGGAGCTTTGTTTTATTTTATTTTGCTTTTAAAATGTTTATATGTGTTTACTTTCTGAATAGGTAATTCATCTATATGCTTCAAAACTAAAAAAATATAAAAAGGCATAGAATGAAAAGTCTCTGGCTGTTCCTAGGCCCCATCTGCCCATTTCCCCCACTTCAAATAGATAACCCTGTATTTAGGTTTTTGCTTATCCCTCTAATGTTGTTTTTATGTATATACAAGCTGGAATAAAGATATACTCCTCTTTATTCCATTTTAACTTCGATGGTACCATGTTATACACATCTTCTGCACCTTGTTGGGTTTTCCCCCCCACCACTTAACACTGTATTTCTGAAACATTTCCTTATCAGTAATAGAGCATTGCCATTTTTATTTTTATGGCTATAGAGTTTTACAGTATACGGTTATGCTATAATTTTACTGGTTCCCACTGAGGGATATTTAGGTTATTTCAAATTGCAAATTAGGGCATGGACTTTAAAGACACATGTGCTTTTGGGGTACCTGGGTGGCTCAGGTGGTTAAGCGACTGCCTTCGGCTCAGGTCATGATCCTGGAGTCCCAGGATCCAGTCCCGCAGCGGGCTCCCTGCCCAGCGGGGAGTCTGCTTCTCCCTCTGACCGTCTCCTCTCTCATGTGCTCTCTTTCTCTCTCTCTCTCAAATAAATAAAATCTTAAAAAAAAAAAAAAGACAGATGTGCTTTCAAATCCCAGTCCTGATGTTAACTAGGTGATTGACTTTGGGCCTCATTGCCTCATCTGTAAAATGGGAATTATTTTATATTTTTATTACCTGTCCCATACATTGCTGTGAAAGATTAAGTAATATAATATACGGTGAACTTGAGAGATAGTAGGTAGGTGCTCAGTAAAAACAATATACCTTGCAACTGGGCATACTAGAACATATTCTTGAAAAAGAAGATATTTTGATTGCTCCTACTGAAATAGAGCAATCATATACATTTAAATACATTTTTTTCAGAATCAGTGCGTGTTTGTTGTTTTAAAAAGTCCAGATAAGTAAAAAGAAAAATATAAATTGCTTATAATCTTATCACTCAAAAAAAATTACTGCTAACTTTTGATCTCTGTCTTTCTAGTTATTTCTCTAACCAAAGGTGCATATAACAAATTCTCAATGGAATGGTACTGTACGTGTTATTTTGTAACCTGTCTTCTTAGTTAACAGTGCATTGCAATCCTATTTCCATGTCATAAAATATTTTTCTCATTGTTTTAAATGACTGTATAGCATTTTATCTTATGGATATACAGTAATTTATTAACAGTTCTCTCTGGGTAGGGGTGCCTGAGTGGCTCAGTCAGTTACCATCTGCCCCAGCTCAGGTTGTGAGCCCCACATTGGGCTCTCCGCTCAGCAGCGACTCTGCTTCTCTCTCTCCCTCTGTGATCTCTCTCTTTCACTCTCTCTCAAATAAATAAATCTTTAAAAAAAAAATTCTCTGGGGGAGCCTGGGTGGCTCAGTTGGTTAAGCGACTGCCTTCGGCTCAGGTCATGATCCTGGAGTCCCGGGATCAAGTCCCGCATCGGGCTCCCTGCTCAGCAGGGAGTCTGCTTCTCCCTCTGACCCTCTTCCCTACTCATGCTCTCTCTCTATCATTCTCTCTCTCTCTCAATAAATAAATAAAAATCTTTTAAAAAAAAATTCTCTCTGGGTAGACATTTTTATTCATAAATATTTAATCTTTCTGGAATTAATTTTGATACCAACTTTTTTTTTTAAAGATTTTATTTATTTGACAGAGAGAGACACAGCGAGAGAGGGAACACAAGCAGGGGGAGTGGGAGAGGGAGAAGCAGGCTTCCTGCCTAGCAGGGAGCCCGATGTGGGGCTCGATCCCAGGACCCTGGGATCATGACCTGAGCCGAAGGCAGACGCTTAACGACTGAGCCACCCAGGCACCCCAGCCCAAACTTCTTTACTGAATAAGCATCTTTACCCTAGCCATTCAAATTACCATTTTATTTTTATTTATTTATTTTTAAGGGTTTTATTTATTTGAGAGAGCAGGAGGAGGGGCAGAAGGAGAGAGAGAAGCCGACTCCCCACTGAACGGGGAACCCCCCCAACTCCCAATGTGGGGCTTGATCCTAGGACTCTGGGATCATGACCCGAGCCAAAGGCGGACGCTCAACTGACTGAGCCACCCAGGTGTCCCTTGAATTACTGTTTTAATCATATTCTAAATATTTATAAATGTATAGGTAGATTTGATTTTAGACTTTGTGAACTGGCTTCTTTATGCTTAAATAGTAATCACAATTTCATTAAAATACATTTAAATATCTAGTGGTACAAGTCCTTTTCATTACAATTCTGTTTTTCAAGAATGCTTTGGCCAGGGGCGCCTGGCTGGCTCAGTTGTTAAGCGTCTGCCTTCAGCTCAGGTCATGATCCCAGGGTGCTGGATTGAGCCCTGCATCGGGCTCCCTGCTAGGCAGGAAGCCTGCTTCTCCCTCTCCCACTCCCCTGCCTGTGTTCCCTCTCTCTCTGTGTGTCTCTCTGTGTCAAATAAATAAATAAAATCTTAAAAAAAAAAAAAAGTTTTGGCCATTTTTTTTTCGTTTTACAGACTCCACCCTCTCCTGTCTTGGCCATTCTTATGTTCTTTTTCTTTCATTATTTTAGAATAACTTTGTCAAATTCCTTTTTTTTTTTTTTTAAAGATTTTATTTATTTGAGAGGGAGAGAGAGAGAGCACAGTCGGGGAGGAGAGGGAGAAACAGACTTCCCACTGAGCAGGGAGCCTGTTGCGGGGCTAGATCCCAGGACCTTGGGATCATGACCTGACCCAAAGGCAGACGCTTAACCGAGCCAAAAAAAAGAGGTTTTTCTATCAATTGCTTTTGATTCTACATTTGAAATTAGATCTGTGCTTAAAAAAAGCAATTAATCCATTCTTTCCTGCTTTATTTTGCCCTGTCTACTGCCCTGATACTTTTAGGGCTTAGACCCAAGCAAGAGAGGTCCCTACTCTGGAATCTATACAGGGCTCCACATGTCACAAACACATAGAATAATAATACTCAGCAGATGTCAGTTATTTTCTATTGCTGCTATAACCATAAATTTAGTGGCTTAAAAGAACACCAATGGGGCGCCTGGGTGGCTCAGTTGGTTAAGCGACTGTCTTCGGCTCAGGTCATGATCCTGGAGTCCCGGGATCGAGT